ACATGTGCTGCTGATATGACTAGTCAATTAATGTTAGCTGGTCATTTTAAGTCAGGATCAAAAAACAGCGAAATTTGTTTTTGTGAAAAGTTAATTTTTTGGCCAATGAAGCTTTTACCAATTATTTAAAATGCATCTGATCACTCTACACAATAATCTAGACACAATGTGAATGAACAGCACAACATTAAGCTGCAAACTTTGCAAAACACAAAATTTATGTCACTGCCAAAACTTTTGGCCATGACTGTAGACTAGCGCAGGTTAATTCTCACATTTTAATAGTATTTATAACACCTAGCAGGCTGTATGACTATGAACAATGACTAAGTCAAGTCACCTTTATTTATATAGCGCTTTTAACAATACTGTAGCAAATTAGCTCTATAGGGAAATGTATATAAATAATTAAAATTAATTATGATTAATTACAATTATTTATATCAGCTGCCAGTAGTAACTAACATAATTAAATTGCCATCAACTAATCTGTTCGTCCAGCGAACATTCAGTGTAAGTTCATATCTACTCTAAGGATATTTTCGTGGCCACAGAAAATACCTTCATACAGAATTAATGCATTAGAGCATGTAGCAAGGATCAAAATCGTAAAGGGACATTATTCACAAGCAGGACTAGAGACTCATGTAATCTGTGCACAAAAGTTGTATTAACTAAACGCTAACACACATAACTAATCTAAACAAACAAACAAACAAACAAACACACACACAATCACTCATACATGGGGAAAGGGCAAATTAGACTTGATGGATGAAACCATCAGGAAAACCAGAGAATGAAGCTATGAAATTAGTCAGTTAACCACCCGAGTAAAACCATCAGCGCCATTTATAACGGGTCTATAGCTTATACTAAACCTCTGTTTCGTTTTGTTAAATGTACAATACTTGCATTGCCTTGGTCATTGACGAGTGTCCGGATGCAGTCTCGGATGAAAGTCTTGATGGTTTCAAGGTTTTGGACTTGCGATCACGTTCTTCTGGGTTTGAAGAGTGATGAATTCCAAAGATGTTCTGACTCGGTGGTGATTGGGAGTTTATTCCCAGGTAGGAAGTGAAGAAGAGCTAAGAGAGACATCTGCTGATGCCTGGCACACTTAAGGGTTCCAAGAGAGTTCTAGCTCACATCCTCATCTTCTCAGAATCTAAAAGAAGCTAAAACTCTGTGTGTCAAGGCCTGCCAGGCGCGGTTGTACCAGCTCTGGGACTTAGTCCTCAGAAGACGAGAAGGTGATGAGAGACGAGTGAAGAGACTAAAAGCTAGGCGGGCCACTGAAGTGAGGCCTTTTAAGTTCTGTGGAGGTCACACCTCTTGGGGGTCAAACAGCCAATGGTGACTTGCACTTCTGGAGGGAAAGTTTACGACTCTTGGTCTCCGAACATGGTAATTTGCATATGTAACTGGATTGGATGTTGATATACAATCTATTAAAGACTCTTAGAACACTAATATGTTGCATATGTACCAACATACAATATACACTCTCATTTAGATCATCAGAAGACAAATTCATAGAGACCAAACATGGTATAGGTAAGATTACATGAACGAGTGGTTCTATCATAAGCATGCATAAAACAGTATACAATACAAAAG